AAAAAAAAAAAAAAAAAAAAAAAAAAAAAAAAAAAAAAAAAAAGGAATAAGTAAAAAGAAGCACTTGTTTGAGGTTAGATGGGTTTTTTCATTATCTTAATTTGCCCACCTCTTTATTGGTCCAGGAAACTAGAATTTCATTGCATTTTTCCAAATCTAACCCTCTGTTTTTGGGGTCTTAGATATTTTGCTGTAATTTTTCTGTGTCAGGCAACATTAGCAAATTACTGCCTTCAGAAAGCAAGCCTTTAAAAATAGATTATCTTACCTTAAAAAAAAATAAAAACTTATCATAGACATAAGAAGAGAATAAAGATTTCCCCAGTTCTTAAATGATTTCCATGAGATGATGTCATCCTATTTATGAATGAAGTCTTACTGATGATGTCAACTTTTTTCTCCAACTTCTTTACATTATTGGTGGCAGCAAACTTCCTTTCTCTTACATTTCCTGTCATTACACACAGCTTACAATGCTGCAAAACCCAAACTTCTTCAGAGCCAAAAGGCAGCTGCTTCAGTGTTTCAGATTCACTGAGGAATTAATCTTCAATGCCTTTCCTGGTTAAGCCATTTCTTTCTTATTAGCAAAAGATTTTCCAATCTTTTCTAAAATTCTATGTTATCCAAAGTACCAAACATTTCTGTAAGTGGATAATGTCCTCAATCTATACGTTTTCCTTATCTCATGATTTAGCAGAATATCTTGAAATTTAAGTATCTTATTTTTTACTTCTATCATCCAGCAGCATTAGCATTGGTTTTTGAAGACTGTGACCTTTATATAGAATGAAATCATTTATATACATAGCAATAGAAACACGAATGAAAAAAGGAGGGTCAGTCAATTGAATGAGTGTTCAAAAATCGAACTGGCTGTAAGCTCAAAGACAGATACATCAAATGATGTTTAAAATTTTGAAAACTGCTTTTTCTTTTTTTTTTTTCCTGAAGGAACAGGCACAGACTATTTAGGGAGATAACACAGAGAATCTGTAAAGAATACAAACTTGGGAAGCTGCTCAGATGTTGTTGCCAAGTTGGCACAAATCCAAAAACACATTTCTATATGCCTTTCATTACTATATCTGACCATCTGGTTTCTTGGTGTTTAAATCCCTGCTAATACTAAAGAAATAACTCTAGTATTCATCCAAGTAGATTCAAAGTGAATGAAAATAAATGTCGTCATTCTATCATTACTTTAATTTATTTTGGCAGTCTTGGGATGAAGTTTTTCTCGTATTCAGCAAATGTTCATCACGCATACATCCACTTTGTACTGGGCTCTGTTCTCGGTGGTGTGGTAAAGATGTTACTGATACATGCAAAACTCCTTCCACCAGGAGGCTTATCTTCTAATGAAGGGACTAAGAAAAAAACCAAAATAAACAGGATAGAAGTACAGTGTCTGAAGGTATTAAACGTTGTCTAAAAAAATAAAGAAGGAAAGGTTTATATATGGGGGAGGGGTGCTTACAGTTTTAAATCTGAGGACTAGGAAATGAGAATCGGTTCTTTGAATAAAGATTTAAATGAGATGAGGGAGAGAGCTTCGTACATATTTGGAGAAAGGACATTCCAGATCAAACAGGTGGTGCGAATATCCTGAGGTATTAAGATGGTCCTGTTTTAGAGGATTTGCTGTAGGAGCTAGTGAGGAAAAGCAGGGGTGCCGAGCAGGACTGAGGGAGGACTAGAGAGACAGGATCTTTGGTGGTGTGTGGTTGGGGGCTGATCCTGTAACATGTACTAGACAGTCAATAAAGCATTACGGTTTTAAGGTAGAGTGAGAGGAACAGTTACTGGAGGGATTGCAGCAGGAGATCACATGGTCTAACACATTTTAACAGGATCATATGACCATAATAGGATCATAAGACTCTTTTATATAATAGGATCATTTTATATAATAGGATCTTATAACTTTTATATCACACAAAAGATAGTCCAATTTTCACACTTTCTAACAAACTTGTATACACAGCTGATTAATAAGTGATCTTTAAAAGAAAAAAGGAATCATTGAACTATTATAGATTAAGGTACTAGCTAAAACCATTCACAAAGAAATGACTTTAATTCACTTACCAGCGAGTATGGACTGAGTACCTGCTATGTGTACAATACTGTTGGCTACTGGGCAAAAGAACTCTGATCAAATGAGGTAGGCAGTAACTTAAATTAGAGGCTTTCTTTCACCATTTCCATTTCAATTCTGCTGCCTAATTTATATCATTAACTAATTATATTAAATTGAACATTGATGTAAAGGTCATTGAACCAAAGTATATAAATTAATATGTAGCATGGCTAACTTCCTGAGATTTCAAATACATATTTTTATATTAAAATACTTTCAGAAGAAAAGTGTGCACTTTAAATGTCTCATTGTTTATGCTTATTTTGTATTGCAATTTATTGTTCATTACATCAAATTTCAGAGAGCTCCTTGATAGTCTCCTAAAACTGCCATGGAGAAACTTCTGTTAAAGATAGTGAAAGTATGAATTTCACATTGGATTTTTAAAGCATAGTTTTGGCAAATGAAATTATTTTTACTACCTCAGAGGTGCATAATTTATTAGTTGTACTTGTCTTTACCTAAAACTAACATTTATTAAGTCTCAGTAAAGAGAAAATTAGAAACATGTTTTTCAGTAAGACGATAAATGGCAAGAATAACAAACAATGCTACTCCAAGTTAATTTAGTAATTATGAAATACAAATAATGGATTGGAAGAATTTTAAGCAGATAATTTTTATCATGATTTTCAGTATATCTTGTGATCAAGAGTCTGTATCCAACTACATTTTGTACTTAGCAGGAATCCGTCCTACTTTCACAGAGTAGGACGTTGTCTTGCCTATGTTTCAGTGCTGTCACTAGAATTGCTGTGAGCTGTTACTGAGGCACACACCAAATGCTCTAAAAGTTATTTCTCCTCATAAAATAAAACTCAATAAAGATTTTGGGAACAACTAAGCACATATAATTTTCATTAATAATGTCAGGGGGTTTTTTTTGTTTTTTTTTTTTGCTTCAATAACTCATACCTGGTATTCTCTTTAACCCAAGTCTATTGTTCACATTGGCTTTAGAAGTATTTTCCTAAGTGGAAAATTTAACTCCTTGATCTTAGGAATATCATTCATGATTTCCTTTACCTATTAAAAAAAAAAACTTAAAATCCTTAGACACTCTAGGCCTTTCTACACAAATCTCTAGATTTATTTTCCCCTAATATCCTGAAATGTACTTCTGCTCAAAAAAACTATTCCTGTTGATGAAAACACACAAACAGAAACAACATACAAACCTTAAGATAAGTTTTAGTTGTAGCAAGCACCTAAAGAGTTTGCTCTACTGGTCCCTGAAGAAGTGAAAAAGATCATCTGAAGATCCCAGCATCACTTTTTCTCTAACCTGATTTTTAACTCATATAAATTATTTAATAAATGTTATGAAAGAAATGAAAGAGCAACCTACACAGAATGTTTAATTACTGCATATCAAAGTTAGCTGTTATGATTAAACTCAGGAGAGTTACTAGTTTATTTTTCAAATTATTTAACCTTGTTTTTGAAACTCATCTGTAGAGAAAGCAATTGGAAGCAATTAGTATAATTGTATTTTATATACCCTAAATATTTACCTACTGTTAAATTTCTATATATTTATTACAGAACATTAAGGGAGAAATGGATCAACTGTGACATACCAACTGTAACAGATATCACCTAGCCACATGAAGCAGTCAAATCATTAATCCAAGCTTTCAATTTAGGATAGATGTAGCAGATGGTCCATTCTCAAATTCTAGATGTTTTCATAGACATAAAATAGTTTGTTTTTTTGGTAAATGTTGAGATTTGATCCTGAGTGCAATTAAAAGAAACCTGCAAGAAGTTATTCAACTTGATTTGTTTAATTATGACATAACTAATTAATCTCACAAGTATCCATGCAAATATTTTCTCAAATTGTTGGATGTGGTTCCATTCTATGCAAGAGCAATTCTCTGAGTATCAAGGCATAAAAACTGAAGCCACATGGAGAAATAGAAGTTACTATGTATTTCAACAATAAGTAATACACAGTCAAAATTGGGTTAATAACAATTGTAGTAGGCATTTTATTCTTCAATTTGCTGGTACGTTTTCAAAACTGTGTTCTAGTTGTAGCTTTGATAAGAGGAGGAAGATGACTGAAATTGTGCTGATAGTAATAGGGAAGAGAAGCAGAAATACTGGTTAACATGTTACATCCATTCCTTGCTAACTAATTGTCCTGGCATTTATGCAGTTGTGAGAGGTGGAGCAAATACAGCAGACACCATAACTACCGCCAGGACAGCACTCTGGATTGCAACCAGGCCTGATAGGGGAAGCAAATCCCATGTCATATCCTCCACTCATACCTCGCGGTAGAAGGAAATTAATTTAGCGTTGGGAAAGACATCAGAGTGACAGTGTTATATTTACTACTTTATAGATGAGGAAAGTGAGGCTCTGAGAAAATCAAGGTTACAGGATTGGTTGGGGTGTGTCTCAGATATTCTCCCTTTCACCTTTCATAAGTTAACCAGAACTTTCATATGAAATCGTGTTGCTCCTTACAGTGTGATTCACAGCCACTGCCTCGAAACATCAATGGAACACCTGGCAGACAGAGACTTAAGTATTTTGCATATACTTTAGAATTTAACCCTTTTAACAACTCAACTTCATTTTATAGGTGAACAAACTCAGGCTAGGAGAGATGAAGTAACTTGTCCAAGACCTGCTCATATGTGGCAGATATGGATTTGAACTCGGTTCAGTTGGAAACCTAAGACCCCTAAGACCATGTTTTCTCTGTTATACTTTCCAGGTGCTTTCTTTAATGGTAAAGGTTGAATTTGGTTCTGGAAGTACAATTATAGCTTACAATATAAGGGTGTTTATATCATTGCTAATAATTATAATAGTGTCAATATCCTTGTTAAAGACATTTAAAATATACATTAGGCAGCAGCACTACAAAATGTAGGTTCTGAAATCCCAGGTTGCTTATTAAGGGGTTGAAGCAACTCACTTGTCTGAATAACACAAACCCAGTACAGAGTACTGAGTACAAAGATAGAGTATGCCCAGGGAGCTATGAAAATTTAACTCAGCCTTAGGCCAAGAATCATCTACTGACAGGAAATGTAAAAAGAAAACCCTACACTCACAGAACACTGATAAACAAAGAACACACATAGAGTAATAAGTATGCATGCCCTCATTCTTTTTCCTTTTGGCTACCCTCAGCTTTCCGCATTCTTTCTACTCTGCAACTGAAATTGCTTCCCTACTAAACAACTGCATATGGAACAAAGGCTGAGCCAGGAAAAGGAAGGAAGAAGCTCATTCTACTGACCCCAAGAAAAGACGCTCATTTGCCACCAGTTTTCAAACAGCCTGGAGCAGGGATGAAGGTTGTGCAGAATGGTGTATTTGTTGAGTAAGGTGTTCAACAAATGCCCTTTAAAAACTAGGGCCTGCTTAATAAAAGCAACTGTTTACTCTGAGGAGTTGCCTCCTAAGAACATAAAGCTCATGTAGACTGTCTTTGGGGGAGCTAGTAGGTTTCCACAGAGGTCAGGGATGAGATCAGGGAGAGGCCATCCTGTGAAAGGGGCTGGTAAAAATCATCACCGTCAATGAGTTGCCATTTCAGTTGTGCTTTATCCTAGGAGAGTGTAGTATGTAGGACCAGTGTCTAAGTCAGTCAAGATCATTCTGATGTAATCAATTGTACTGGGACATGTTGGGGATGAAACTGCAGTGCTTGTTGTCATTGAAACAACAGGGAAACTTGTGAATAAGAGGCAACTAGTACATAGCCAGTATTGTCCAAGGGAGACAATGTTATGGTTTTAGACAGCTCATGCATTTTAGTAAGATATATTCCCAGTAGGATATAAACATCCATTTAGAGAACTCAAAAATGTGTTGTAATTCTAGGTATGCAACAGAACTATGGACCTAAAACTTCCTTGACAAAGTGGACTTTACTAGGAGAGAGTGGTTGAAACAACAGATGGATTGCTCTTTTTCCCAGGAGGGCTAAAATCAAGAGATTTTCACTCATATTTTCTTCACAGATTCTAACAGCACTGTAGACCTATTAAAAAGTTCTTATCCATCTCATTTAAAAGCAATTATTAAATCTCCCACTGTAAAATAATAATTTAAGACTTTCATTAAATAGATCATTTTACCAGATCCTGATTCTATTTTGGTGAAATTAGAAAATTAAGTTCAAGAGTCTACAAAAATGAAGCCTGCACTCTGGACCCTTTTTGATTCTACTGGGGTATCAGCTCCTCCACTTGAGTCTTTAATTTAAACAAATATCAGTCACTTATAACTTTATAAGTATTACAGTTAATATTGTATATTATACGAATCTCATTGGTACAGGAGTATAGCTCAGTGATATGGATAAGAAATTCATAGCTCACATCAGAATAAAGAAAGAAAAGGCAGATTTTAATAGAAAAGAAAATGTCTTACTTGTTTAAGAATGTCTTGTTTCTGCACATGCAAGGAAAGAAAGAATACATGCGTTAAGGTAAGATAATTTATACTTATCATCTCATATTGCTGATAATTTAACTAAAAAGTCAAGTTTGCAGATTGATTTTAAAGCATACCCTAGATCCATGGGTCTAAAAATGTGGTTCCAAAATAGCAGCTTCAGCATCAGCTGGGAAACTGATAAAAACAGAAAATTCTGAGCCCCATTCCAGAAACTAAGGTGAGGAGGCAACAACCTCTGTTTTAAGAAGACCCCCCAGGTGATTCTGATGCCAGCTAAAATTTGAGAATCATTGAATCAATCAATCTTAGAATGTAATACGCAAACAGTTCTAATTGACATGAGATAAATGTAATGAATAACACATACATTATAATTAAAACCTTCCAGAGAAGAATGTGAAAATATAACAGTATATATAAAGATATATTCGATTATACTTATTCCCCACTCCTATTTCCTTCTATTAGAATAACATACCTAAGCCTCCCTCCACCCCTTTAAAGACAAATATCTTTCTATACATAAGCCACTGCTTAATTTCTTCCCACCTCTTTAGATGTTGATGAAATAATTTGGTGTGGAATTTGGAATCCAGGGAAAAAATATTTATATATGCAATGCCAAACTGATTCTTTCCCATAGTATAAAATTCTGTGACTCTCATGAATCAGTTACATCTGAGATGTTCTGAGTGTGTTTTACTATGAACCTTCTCACTAGGACTGGAGGGCCACTACAATCTACCTGTAATCATACTCTTTATATTGTCCACATAACATTAGGTGGAAACTAATAGGCATCTCTCACCTTGTTGGGCATGAGTCAGTAATAATTATGTGCAATGGAACATGCTATGTTCATTACAGAAGCAATGTAATTCCTGCAATGACATGCAATGTCATTCAGTGCATGTGAAATACCTTTCCCTTCCCCTTCTCCTCAGGTCTTCCCTCTCATTCTAATGGCCTAGCTAATTAAGTGAAGAGGAAATGTCTTAAACTGGGATCCCAGACAACCAGATTTTAACTATGGTTATTGTCACAAACCTAGATGGTTAATCTTGGGAAAGTCATTTTACTTTTCTTTTCTTTTTTTTTTTTTGAAGCACACAGGCCTCTCACAGTTGTGCCCTCTCCCGTTGCGGAGCACAGGCTCCGGACACGCAGGCTCAGCGGCCATGGCTCATGGGCCCAACCGCTCCGCGGCATGTGGGATCTTCTCGGACCGGGGCATGAACCCGTGTCCCCTGCATCGCCAGGCGGGCTCTCAACCACTGTGCCACCAGGGAAGCCCCATTTTACTTTTCTTAAGATGAGTTTCTTTACTTAAAATCTTTATAATCATATTTGTTTGGTTATCTCAACACCTTTCTCAAGTTTTTATTCTTAAAGAATCTTTAAAGCCGTTGTTTAAATTTATATTTTATGATTCTGTCATTTATTTCCTCATAGGAATTAAAAATAAATGAGTCATCCATATATTACACCATATTTCTCTATTCAAATAGACTTAAACAGGTCACATTTTCATTGGATTACGCTTTTATACACAGAGCTTTTACAATTCAGTAGTTCAAGTGAGTCATAAGAAAAATAATGCATCTACTATTTAAGCAGCTTTACTTTATAAAGGGGAGAAGCAATTTTAAGAGATATTTAGGTTGTTTTCTCTTTGTAAATACATTTTATTTGGATGATACAAGCCATCTCCATTTTAGAAAACAAAGTATTAGTCATTTACTCCAAAGCAAGACTAGATTAATCACTTTTCTAATTTTTCTTGTACAACTGAACATCAATTAGGTAGTCACACATCTATGCCTACTTTGGGCTCAACTTGACCAGTAAATAGAGAGTGGTAACTGCACATTTGAGTTAACAGTATGAATTATTTCCTACTATTAAAGTAACCTTTTATAAACTTGATGAAGGCATGTACTGAACAGAATCTCTAGGCCTTAAAGATTTATCTCTAAACACTGAATATTCCTAAATATTTCCTACTGGCTTTTGTAAAATACATACTAGTGTTTAAAAGACTCATAAAAACTTTAAATTTTTCTCCTGATGGGAAAATACCTATCAGCTTTAAAATTTGAGAGTGATTTCACTCTTAAATTAGAAATACTTTTGGGTCTTAATGAGATCTAACTTTTTTGTTTTTCAACTGTTCATTATTTTAATAATGCATTTCGAGAGCAGACCTGTGCACTTATGGAGAGGTATTACATTATTGAAAAGGCTGACATCATATGTGTGTCTAACAATGAATCTAGTAATTACCTCAATAAATCTAGTACATGGTGACTGATAATCCCCATGAAACATATAATATCAGTAAGACTAAGTCTTGAGAGTCCTTTAAATAAGAAATAATTGAAGCAAAAAGTCTACTTTGCAAACAAGATCACATTCCAACTGAATTTATAGCCGACAGCTATCTTTAGGGGGAAAAAAACTGTTTTTCTCTCTGTATGTAGATTAGATAACATGCACGTTTTCAACTATGACTGGGAAATGTAAATATTAATGAATTTTTGGGGTCTTACAGCAATTCAGTAAAGCTGTCATCTTTACCTTTCCAACCCTGCTTTCTTGGTCTCTGAGATTTTCAGTTCTACCAATTTATCTGCCAACATTCTTTCTCTCACTCTAAAGCATCTAGGAAAATAAAATGTGAGGAAAATGTAGGCCAGATGCCTGCTTTTTTCCCTCATGATATAGGCAAACGGGAGTAGCTTTAAATTGTCTATTTTCTGCATCATTTGTAGGCACTAAACATTAACTTTATTTTTAAAAAAGAAAATAAATCTTAGGTTAAAGAGTTTTAAAAGGTATAATTATGTATCAGAATGTAGACAGAATAAAAATATGTAAGGAAAAATAGTAAATATTGGAGTAAGAATAGTAAGTACTGGAAATACTAAAAGGAAATTATAAAACAATATGAACATTTTGAGGTCAGAATTTATAGAGATTCGGTTTTGACTAAAATATTAGTTCTATGAATCCCAGAGAAGTTAAATATTAAGGATAGCCAAGAACTGTGCTTTTGTAAACATTCAAAACCACAATGATAATGAAAACAAAAAACAGATCACATTTTAATCAGCAAACAAATCTATCTAATGAATGGCTAGATAATATATCCAGGCAAAAGAGTCTTCTACAAAGGGCAGTTTCTTTTAGCTCCCATACAACCCAACTGTCACTTGGTGAAGCTGCAAAAGAACTTACAGCAATGATGGTCAAACATTTAATATGTAACATTTCTCAGCTAAACTTGTCTTAAAGACAAGGTTATTAACAAATAATTAGGGAGGGAAAGATATTCATTCAAGCAAAGTGTTTCAAAGCAATTGACAGGACATCAAGTT